CGCCGCCGGGGGAGGCGGCGGCGGCGGCAGCGGAGAATCCTCCGGCGGAGTTGCTCCTCTCTGTATTTTCGCGGGTGGCTCTGTCTTCAAAGGAACTGAAATGGGTGTAAAGTAGAAAATAACGGAGTTTGCAGAAAGTTCATTTGCGTCGAGAATGCTCTGTTCATCGACGCCGAAAATTTCTCCAATGGAAGAAATGGATTCCCCCTTAGAGACCAAATACGTGAGCAAGTAGTTGAAGCCTGCTTGCCGCTGTTTCTCCGTGGGGCAGGCGCACCTGAGGGGCACGTGCAAGTTGAGACCTTTGGTGAGGTTGCGATCGTTGAAGCGGTTTTGGGCCCTGAGGGCTTGACACGTGGTGAGGGACTGGTAGGTGTTGTTGGCGATGGTGAAGTAGGTTTCGCCTAGGATCTTGATGGAGTAGGAGGCGTTGTGCTGGTAGTAGGGGCCGGAGCAGGAGCAGTTGATGGGCACGGTGAGGAGGGTGTCGGCGGCGACGGACTCGACGTCGGTGATGTTGTTGGCGGCGGCGATGAGGGAGGGGGTGGAATTGAGGAGGTATGAGATGGAGGAGGGTGTAGCGTATTCGGGTGGGGATGATTTGAAGGTGAGGTATGAAGTGCAAGAGGTAGAAACACCGTTGCAGATGTTTCCTTTTGTGGAGTTGAATTCGTTGTCGCAGTCTAGTTGCTTGTTGTTTACGTACTCTTGTTGGGAGTGTGATTTTGGGATGGAGGATGTGAAGAGGAGGAGGAGGAGTATGGTGGTCGCGGCGCACTGGATGGTGGCCATGTTGCGATGGTGAAGGTGGAGGCTGCTGCAGAGATTTAAATGAGTGCTTGCTTTGTGTTTTTTTAAATTCAAAGAAGGCGTCTATTTGTGTTTCTATTCTAAAGTTGTCAGAGCAATCGTATTGGATGGGGTGGCGACCTAGTCAAACACGTTTTGTTCCGACAGTTTCCCACTTTACTGTGAAAAAATTACTGCATTTGAATATGTCCAAAATATGTATACATTCTTTTAATCTCTGTACTTCTACAAAGATGAAACTCCTAATTACATGTCTAAGGAACATAAATATTCGCTAACTATGGTTATTTTTTTAATCCCCACGAGCACGTGGAGTAGAGTTGTATGAAGTGGAAGATAACTATAGTTTGAGTCGAGAGAAAATAAGAGGAGAAATGTAATGTAAGAAGATTCCCAGGCTTGAGGGGATGTCCCACGCGAGTTGTTGCAGCGTATGTGGTTGATAATGACATAATGTACCCTCTACATCACGCTACCAATTTTCAACTTGGAAAAAGATGCAAGTTGCAGCCGCGGAAAAGTGGGTTGTGTTCTCATGATAATTTTTATGATGAAAAAGAAACAGAATAAAAAAAATGAACAACAAAATATGTAGTGGAATAAGACAAAGAAAAAGTGTTATGAAAATGTAGAGATTGTTATAAGAAAATTGTGACAAGCCTGTTACAGTTCTATGTTTTGGATTGGTGCTTCACTATTCTTCTAGCGTTCATTTTTTACAAATAAATCTAACCGATCTTTGTTTTGGACAGCAGAAGATTCGATAACAAAACAGAGGCTAGACGATAAGAAAAAGTTTAATATTTATTTGAATTTTTAAATAATAGTGGGCCAGTTAATTATTCATTGACCACGAGAATACCTCAAACATAAAAGACTCCAATTTTTGACGTCAAAACACACCTGATAATGAACATTGAACGCTGAGGAAGGAGATAGGAGGTTGCTTGTTATAGACTCTGAGTTTATGTTGATTTCTAGTCAGGAGTTCCCACGACATAAAATAAGAGAGTAAATAGACAAATAAGTAACTCTGGTCTTAGAAAATCATTTATTATAAAGATTAATCCATTAAATTTTTTTTATTAAGAAGTAAATAATCTCAGTATGGTAACCTATTTAGCAAGTTAAACAATTTCAAAAACTAATTTATATAGGCGAATACTTTTAAATATCAAAACTAATTCAAATGAGTACAGGTAGTAAGCATGAAGTTACTAGATTCCACCATGGCATTCTATGCATCATATCAAATGGCTCAACCACCAACAAAAACCAACTATTAAGTCAACTTCTAAGTGTTCTTAACATCTCACTGAAATAAAGGACAGGTTAGTGGAAACAGTAGAAGAATAATCTATACATCTTATTGACCTATTGCCACTATTAAATCTACAAAGGGAAAGTGATAACACATGCTCCCTTTTGCTGACTGTGTATGTATCTACGTGTATCAATCGTGCTTTCTTTTGCAGCCTCCTAGTCGGCAAATTCTGAAACAAGTGTAAACTAGCCCTAGGAATACAAGAAGCAACACTGCAGCAAAGATTTAAATAAATGAAAATATCCTTTTAAACCAAATGATAGTAAGCAAATTAGCAAAAACAAATTAACAGTTCAATTTTAATCATACTATACATGGACACTTTAGAGTGATATCCAAAGTAAACAAAGGAGACGTACACAAACACAAAAGTAACTTACCAAATAAGGTGAAACAGAACAAGATCATCAGGCGATATCTTACAATCCATGGCAAACTAACTTCAAGAGTGCAATGCTTCTGATTATTTTGCCCTGCTTTTTCTCTGTCTGAATTTGGTTGTAATTCGGTTAATGAAACATCAACACCTGTAACAACGACACCATTCTTGTCCTTGACTTTGAATTTTAGTTTCACAGGGTGAGAGTCCCAATCTATTTCAATAGTTCCAAAGTTTGGCTGGCCTAGTGAAAATCCACATTTGAAATATCAAAATATGAAAACCAATATAAATATTCCTAACCAAGAATAAGGAGGAAAACGTTACCATATATACAAGATTTGTATCTGCAGTTTTGGCCCTTAACTCTCATTGTAGATGGGGTCAACCATGCCACAAATCTCACAAAAGAACGCAAGAAAGGTGGGACAACCTCCTCAATTGATTGAGTAACTCCACTTGAGGTTACGTCATATAGTGGATAGTCCAAAGCACAATCGTATCTAGTAATTTCCCCAAAGTGAACATCTCCACTAATAAAAAATACTCCAGTCCTCTGCATAGAAAGGACTAATAAAAAGTGAAATGAATACTCACTCACTACACTACGTAATCGATACCAATGTAATTCCCTTTAACATCAACGATGTAAAACGTAGAAAATGAATGTACTGAAAGTTATTACCTTACTATCATCTATTAATTTAAAAAGGCGATCTCTTTCCTTTGGAAAACGAGCCCATGATTCCATAGCGAACAATGGATGAATAGTTGCTGAAAGATTTGATATAACCTGACATAGAGATTAATTATATAAATGTATATACCAAAGCAAATCACCAACACAATTAAACCAGAGACAAAACTACCCACAAAGGAGTGCCTCTGCAGGCTTTCAACAATTTGTGGTAATAATACGAGTAGTTTTTTAGTTGTTATTATCTCATTACTTTGATAATGTGTTCCCATAATTTTAAGAATCATTTTGTACTATGGATTTTGCCGATTGCCCCCATAGACTAAAATTCCTGGATTCATCCTGTAACAAACATTGAATTGGAATCTCTCCGGTGTGTCATGTAACTGCCTAATAGCTAAGCTATGATAATAAAACACCTAACATGACAAATGACACAAACAAAGAATAGAAATGATTTCAAATTAACAACACAGAAGAGAAACATATCTCAATTTTCCAAGGTGAAATAATTCAAGCACAAAACTGGCTTCTATTGAGACGGAAGTAAAGGCCCAAAGCTATTAGACTGCAGAAAGCCACTTTCTAAGTCAATAAAACAACTAATTCCAGTCAAATTTCAATCTACACAGCGCCAAGAATACTGGCATAACAGTTCGTATTGTGGCCAAAATTCATAAGTCATAAAGATGTACACATAATAAAATATGGTCAAGAATAATTCAGATTAATCTCAGACATCATAACAACTGATAATTAATTGCTGTACCTGAATAGAAGATCCAATTATGGTAAGAGCTGTTGGTAAACCCTTTAGCTCTTTCTCCAACCACAACCATTGTGAATTCCCCAAAATGGTTCCATCACTTCCTACAGGGTCTCTGTGATATCTGGTATCTAAGAGGATAATCTGAATAGTTATCCCCAAGCCACAATAAAAACATTAGTACAAGATGCATGCTTAAAATTTAAAACAATTTATAATTAGTTCTCATGTAGTGGATACCATACTACCATAGCACAACAATCAAGAGAAGATTTTATGAATTTAATAAAGAATAAAGTAGATATTTCGTCAATACCTTGATATCTCTACCTACAGGACCATACGTATATGAGGCATATACACCAGCCTGTTTCCGCCTGAAATGAGAAGCTGGGGTTAGTATCCAAAAATTAAATCTACATCTGCTGCTTATTAAAATCTATTAATGAGTGAATACTTATGTAGCCAGACATGAAAACATGTCTCTTCACTCTCCAAGAAAAAAGAATGAGGTTCCACAGCCAATACAATCATGTGCTGAATTCAATATATACTATTATTCTCTGAGATAGAATAAAATAAAAGAACCAAAAATGTAGGACATAGATAAGTCCAACATGTTAATGCAGCGAAGGAGATTATATACTCACCGTGGACTATCTTGAGGTTCATCCAAGAAATCAAGAAGCAACTTTTGGTTTGTGACTTTTCCATGAAATTCTTTTCCTGCATCATTTAATCCATAATCGTGATCATCCCAAGTACCAATAACCTATCGACATACCAATGTGAAAGTCAGGCCAAAAAATTGATAAAAATAAAGTCATCATTTTAGTAAATCAACCCACAAACATTTGAACAATGTTATGCTTTCAAACCATAATTTTAAGAGCCTATTTGGGTACAGGCTTAAAAGAACTTTTGAGAGTTTCTTTACTGAAAATAAAAAGTTTTTTTTTCCAACAGAGAAACTTTCAAAAATACTTTTAGCTTGTATCCAAATAGGTTCCAAGTATATAATGAAAACAAGCAGAAAAGCTTAGCATGATGCACCTTAGCATTCTGTTGAAGTCGAGAATAGCCAGGATTAGACCTAGCCTTTTCATATCTACTCTTCATTTCCTGCT